AATTCCGGTATTTAAAAAAACCCTCCCTCATCTACTTTATCCCCAATAAAATGATAAAAAAACAAGAGGCCCAAGGGCCTTAACGGTCACCTGAGTATGATACAATAATTCAAAGGATGCATAGAGTATAAAATGAACTGAAAGGTGAAACTTTGTTGCCCAAAAGAAAAAAAAATAGGTGATCATGATCAACAAAATAATTGGTCATAATATTCATTAACAGTTCATAAATTAGGTTCTAATCTGTTCTCCATTTATCACTATCACCATACAGTATATTAACAAATTATCAATGCTTCTGTACTATTTTAATCCCTTGTTGAAACCTCTTACATTGGCCTTTCTTGGGTCTTTGATGAACATTTAATAAGACAAGTTATTTTTGTCTCATTTTTATTTATCTACTACTTACAAGTCTATCTGATCATTAAAACTATGAAAGTACTTTTTGTATTATACAATAAATGTTTTTGCATAATTCTCTTATTCTATTTACCTTTCAAGTACATTATTTACAGTGATAAATTATCAAAAGTAAATGGCAAAGGGGAATAACTCCTCTCAGTAGAATACAAACTAATAGAGCCCTGGCCTGGACCAGAACACTTGACCAAATGGTCCAGATGTTCTAAAATCTGGTAAAATTCCCTTCCTTATAAAAATTTTTACTCTATTTACCTCAGATATCCCAAGGTGTGGAGAAGATTTTTAAGAAATAATGCATTTTTACTACAAGATTCACTATATTATCAATAGAGCCCCCCCCCCCCCCCCCCAAAAAAAAAAAAAAAAAAACACCAGAGCTTCTGACCCTGGAACCATAAGTTTGCTCATCATAACCAATCACTTTGTTTGTCTGCTTAACACTAAGGAGCAAACAGGATTATTTAATAAAATTAATGCATTTTCACTATATTATCAAGAGCCCCACTTTCACACCAGCACATCTGACCCAGGGGTCATGAAATTCACTACTCTGAAAGAAGTATTCTTGCTCATCATAACTATACACTTAGTTTCTTTGCTTTTTTAACCAGAAGCAGAAAAGAATATTTTCAAATTTTGCTTTTTCACTTTATAATCAATAGAAGCCCCCCCCCCCCCTCCCACCAGAACCCTTAAACCTGGGGTCATAAAATTCACAATTTTGGAAGAGGCATCCTTGCGTATCATAACAATGTACTTAGTCTGTTTAAACAATACCCAGGGGCAGAGAAGAAGATTTTCAAAAAAATAATTCACCTTCACTATAGGATCTATATAGCCCCGCCATAGCACCAGAACTCCTGTCCCCGGGGCCATGAATTTCACAATTTTGGAAGAGGCATCCTTGCTTATCATAACAATGTACTTAGTTTGTTTAAATAATACCCAGGTTCAGAGAAAAAGATTGTTTAAGAATTAAAACATTTTCACTTTATAATCAATAGAGCCCCGCCCTAACACCAGAACCCCTGATCCAGGGGCCACGAATTTCACAATTTTGGAAGAGGCACTCTTACTCATCATAACTATATACTTAGTTAGTTCATTTAATACCCAGGAGCAGAGAAGAAGATTTTCAAAGAAATAATGAACTTTCACTATATGATCTATATAGCCCCACCCTAGCACCAGAACCCCTGACCCTGGGGCCATGAATTTCACAATTTTGGTAGAGGACTCAATGCTTATTACAATGATGCCAACAGTTTGACTGCTTGATGTCCAGGAGTAAAGAAGAAGATTTTTAAAGTTTGCATTAATTTTGGTGGTTTTGCCCCTCCCCTCAGGCCCCAGGGGGGCAGGGACCATGAAATTCACAATTTTTGTTCCCCTTCACCCATAGATACTATATGCCAAATTTGGTTGAAATTGGTTGAGCGGTTTCAGAGAAGAAGCTAAAAATGTTCAAATGTTAACGCACATCGCACGACACACGCCGACGGACAAAAACGGATAGCAATAGGTCACCTGAGTGACTCAGGTGACCTAGAAAAGCCTCCCGCCTGCATCTGCTTAGGAGAAAATTGGCCTGAGAACCAGAGAATTAAATTTATGTAGCCTAAGTTTGATAAAAATATCTTGAATGGTCAAGGTCAAAGGAAATGTCGAGGTCAAAAAATGTTTATGCAGTTGAAAACCTTACATCAGTATGTATTAGCATATGAAGTTAGATAAAAATTTCATGAATGGTTTCTTTAAAACTGAGCTAAACACAAATTTAAGAAAAGTGAGGTCAAGGTCAAAGGAAAGGTGGAGGTCAAACAAGAGGCCCAAGGGCCTTAACGGTCACCTGAGTATAATACAACAATTTAGAGGATCCATAGAGTATAAAATGAACTGAAAGGTGAAGCTTTGTTGCCCAAAAGCAAGAAAAATAGGGTGATCAGGATCAACAAAATAATTAGTCTAGTGTTCATTAACAGTACATAAATTAGGTTCTAATCTGTTCCCCATTTATCACTCTCACCAGACAGTATATAAACAAACTTATAATCAGTGCTTCTGTACTCTTTTAATTCCTTGTTGAAATCTCTTACATTGGCCTCTCTTGGTCTTTGATGAACATTTGATAAGACAAGTTATTTTTGTCTCATTTTTATTTATCTGTTACTTAAAAGTCTACCTGATCATTAAAACTATGAAAGTACTTTTTGTATTATACAATAAAAATTCTTGCATAATTCTCTTATTCTATTAACCTTTCAAGTACATTATTTACAGTGATTAATTAACACAAGTAAATGGCAAAGGGGAATAACTCCTCTCAATAGAATACAAATTAATAGAGCCCTGGCCTGGACCAGAACACTTGATCAAATGGTTCTGATGTTCAAAAATCTGGTAAAAATACCCTTCCTTATTAAAACTTTTACTCTTTTTGCCTCTGATATGCACAGGTGCAGAGAAGATTTTAAAAGCATTAATGCATTTTCACTATATAATAAATAGAGCCCCGCCCTAATATCAGAACCTCTGATCCAGGGGTCATGAAATTCACAATTTTGGAAGAGGCATCCTTGCTTATCATAACCATGTATTTGTTTAAATAATACCCAGGAGAAGAGAAGATATTCAAAGAAATAATGCACTTTCACTATATGATCTATATAGCCCCGCCCTAGCACCAGAACCCCTGACCCTGGGGCTATGAATTTCACAATTTTGGTAGAGTCACCCTTGCTTACCATAGCTATGTATTTAATTTGTTTAAATAATACCCAGGAGTAGAGAAGAAGATTTTCAAACAAATAATGCACTTTCATTATATGATCTATATAGCCCCTGCCCTTGCACCAGAACCCCTGACCCTGGGGCCATGAATTTCACAATTTTGGTAGAGTCACTCTTGCTTATCATAACTATGTATTTAATTTGTTTAAATAATACCCAGGAGTAGAAAAGATTTTCAAAGAAATAATGCACTTTCACTATATGATCTATATAGCCCCGCCCTAACACCAGAACCCCTGACCCTGGGGCTATGAATTTCACAATTTTGGTAGAGTCACTCTTGCTTATCATAACTATGTATTTAATTTGTTTGAATAATACCCAGGAGTAGAGAAGAAGATTTTCAAAGAAATAATACACTTTCACTATATGACCTATATAGTCCCACCCTAGCACCAGAACCCCTGACCCTGGGGTCATGAATTTCTCAATTTTGGTAGAGTCACTCTTGCTTATCATAACTATGTATTCAATTTCTTTCAATAATACCCAGGAGTAGAGAAGAAGATTTTTTTAAGAAATAATGCACTTTCACTATATGATCTATATAGCCCCGCCCTAGCATCAGAACACCTGACCCCGGGGCTATGAATTTCACAAGTTTGGTAGAGTCACTCTTGCCTATCATAACTATGTATTCAATTTCTTTCAATAATACCCAGGAGTAGAGAAGAAGATTTTCAAAGAAATAATGCACTTTCACTATATGATCTATATAGCCCCGCCCTAACACCAGAACCCCTGACCCTGGGGCTATGAATTTCACAATTTTGGTAGAGTCACCCTTGCTTATCATAACTATGTATTCAATTTGTTTCAATAATACCCAGGAGTAGAGAAGAAGATTTTCAAAGAAATAATGAACTTTCACTATATGATCTATATAGCCCCACCCTAGCACCAGAACCCCTGACCCTGGGGCCATGAATTTCACAATTTTGGTAGAGGGCTCAATGCTTATTACAATCATGCCAACAGTTTGACTGCTTGATGTCCAGAAGTAAAGAAGAAGATTTTTAAAGATTGCATTAATTTTGATGGTTTTGGCCCCACCCCTCAGGCCCCAGGGGGGCAGGGGCCACGAATTTCACAATTTTTGTTCCCCATCACCCATAGATGCTATATGCCAAAATTGGTTGAAATTGGTTTGCTGGTTCCAGAGAAGAAGCTGAAAATGTTCAAAAGTTTACGACCGACGGACGACGACGGACAAAAAGAGATAGCAATAGGTCACCTGAGTGACTCAGGTGACCTAAAAATGTTTATGCAGTTGAAAAGCTTACATCAGTATGTATTAGCATATGAAGTTTGATAACACTATCCTGAATGGTTTATTTATAACTGAGCTACATGTAAACACTAATTTAAGTGAGGTCAAGGTCAAAGAAAAGGTCGAGGTCAAAAAATGTTGATAGCTCTCATTAGTATGTATCAGCATATGAAGTTTGATAAAAAATATCTTGAATGGTTTCTTTAAAACTGAGCTAAACACTAATTTAAGAAAAGTGAGGTCAAGGTCAAAGAAAAGGTCAAGATCATGGCCGGGCATAAAAATTCACTTGCCCAATCAGAAAAGTAATTTGACAGTTTCACTTGCACGAACTGAGAATTTACATGTACTTGCCCCAGGCAATTGGGCAACTGTTAATGCTGATCCCTGATTCTTTTTTTCAGGTGACATTAAATATTTCAGAGACAAATGACACAACAACCCTTTAAATTAATGGCTATAGGTGTGCATATCAAGCATAATTATACATGTACACTGTATATATTTTATTTACCTTTCTCCTCCTCTCTGATTTTGAAGTCTTTCATATCTGAAAACATAAAAAAAAAATCTTAATTCTTTCAAATAAAACTAATATTTCTGTCTTATTTTTTATTTCCAATAAGGTTATCAACATAGAATCAATTGTAATTGAAATGTGCATCATATTTGTCGAATTCCATGTCACAACAGATCAACAATTGATTATTACATGTGTAATCATAATTGACGCAAAATCTGACTAGTCAGCAAGGCCCCTGCTAAGAGATGTGTTAAGTAAAATATAAAAATATTGTATTAATCAAAGGACTGAAAGTACTGAAAAGCGGTTAGCATGCTGTTCAGATTTACAAAAAAAAAATACCTTTGCATAAACTGATATTGAAGTACGTATAGCTGTTGTTCAATGTCATCAGAGATATGAAGCAGACATTCCGATCTTTGGAATATTTTACTAAATGACAAAACCAATAACATCCCATTCATACACCAAAACATAATTTTTTTATCAATTGATGTCACAAATGCATTTATAAAAAATATCGAAACATGAATTCTTGAGTTTGATAGATAAAAAGTGCAATTTATAAAATTCACTTTCGGTGGTGACCAGAAGTACTCAGGACGGAAAAAAGTAAATTGATGTAGATTTATCTGTAATGCTCTATGGTTTCTGAAATCAGGTAATTGTTAGGTTGCTAACACACAATTTAAAAAGAAAAAACTTTGATAATTTAAAATTTTTAAATTTATGAATTTGGAGTAGATGCAGATCTTAAGTTCACTGGTCTGAAAAAAAAAATGGAATGGACGAAGAGATTTTTTCAATATTTTTTTTCGGAGAGCTTTAGTTCTGTAGCTATGACTTGATAAAAAGGTAAACTAGTCAGATCAAAACAAACTACAATATGGATTTAAACTTTACACAGGGCTCACGGCGGGTTATTGGTCAACTGTGGATGCTTACTTCTCCTATGCACCTGATCCCACCTCTAAAATTTTCAGGTGTTCATGTTTTATGCCATCTTAACATATTTGTATTGTTTCTATTGTTGATATTTTGAGATCGCTCACTGTTCATTATCTTAACCTTTTACTTTTAAATGTTGAAGTTCCATTTTATAAAGGGATTCTGTATCATTGAGGTACCGAGTACTTCTGTTTAATATTATGTGCTACTACGGTACTACCCTCACTGGAAGACGGACATGTCAACTAGATAATCAAGTTTTTTTAAAACATATACATTATTGACCATGCAAATAATTCAAATGTTCAAATGAGTAAATGGTGTATATGACAATCATTTAAAATAAAACAAGACTCTTGCACAATATATAAGGGACAGATACTGAGTATTTGGCACACACTTTTCATGCTATACTCTTGATATCAAAGAAAACTGTGAAATTAAGTAAAGTTGTCTAATCCAACTATACTAGTTTTTATTATTTCACAAGTACACTTAAAGTTATTGTTTGATAAACAATTTATTTGTCCTCAAGAATTATCCAGGCAACAATGTCACTTACCTCAATATTCAAATTACTAGTATGTTTACAAGTTACATATTTTTCAAATAATAACTATTATTTAAAATCTTCATTAATTGCCAAGATTTTTTTAATTACTCTTTCATTATCTTTTTAAAACTTTCTCAGCTAAATCTTTGCATATTTTATAAAGGTTGGTGAATTTTAGATGAGGATCACAATGCCGATTAAAATTTTCATATGCTTTCAATTTTTCTAAAATTAATTTTACTATTTTACTATTTTCAGTTTCAATAAAATATTACTTTTTTCCCAAAAATAAAAGTATGTGATCATTTATGATTGTTTGTAATAAAAAGAGTGCAGAATATACCCCTATGAGCTAATATTAACTTTTATAATCTTTTAATGAGAGAAGGAATAACTTTTCATTTTGAAAGTAATTCCATTGTTTCTATTAAAACAGTTGTACAATTTACAGAAACTTAAAATGTATTTAATGCTTTTATTCATATATTACTTCACTTAATAAAAAGTAGGTTTAAACACTTTGGGGTAAACTCGTAAATGAAAATCAAACTCGAGAGTTTCGCTGATGTTTTGCAGTCGGTAATAACCCCCCTTTAGTCAGCAATGAACTCATCCATCCAGTGCCCATCATGGCATAATTAGGTCAAATAATAATTGTTCATGAGGGATGTTATAAAAATTTATAAAAAATCGTTCAACTTCCAAAAATAAATATAAACTATAAATCACGACTGCAGGATTTATCGACGAGTTTATACTCAGCAGGTAACCCCTAAAATTCAAATTGAGCCATGAAAGGCAGTAGAGGTAGTGATGGTAAACAGATCATAGGTAGCGCTTTCCGGTGTTGACAAAAATTGCGTAAGACATTTGGTTACATGACATAAAGCGATTAGCGTATACGCTAACCGCTTAAAAAGCAGTTTTCACATTAGTGCTAATTAAATATACGAGGGTTGCTAGAAAAGTTTGAGGACGAGTTCTATTGTGAACGCACTAATTGCATGAAACCAGTAAAACTCTGCAGATGAAAACTATACGTATTTTCCAATATTCAAAGATTTGGTGTTTTCTGATGATCTTTAAAAAAATATACAGCTATGTTATTTAGATAAAACATGCTTCACGGAGAATGTCACTTTTTCACACCTTTACATTACAATGACATTTTTTTTTAAAATCAAAAATTGCACGGTTGTGGCGCATAAAGATTTATGATATTTCACCTGTCGCTACAATATTCATGAAAGGACATTTGGGGAAAACTTGAATTAAATTGAAGGGGATATGACTGTTTTATTGCTAATTATAGGTGATCAATGCATAAAAACAAAGTCAAGAATGACAACATCATTGAATGTCTTGGAGCACCGAGCTGTGGAAAAAGCATTTGTGCAGGCAGGAAAACTTGGCCGTAATTAATTAGCGATAATTAATTCATTCAATTATGTAAATCGCACTTCACCAGAGTACACCCGAGAGACCGGACATATTTCATAGCAGTGCGGATTTCTTTCTTTACAACTGGTTATAAACTTCAAAATAAACATGTAACACTGTAAATACATAGTGTTTGGTAGTTTAGTAGTAGTGCTAGGTGTTTTTTGTTTTTCTGTTTCCTTTGTTTTTATGACTTCTTAACTAAATTTCTTTGTCCTGAGAAAGGGACAGGGCGTCCCGAAAATTTGACAATTTCTATTGTTCGTGTTGTTGGTCATTTTTAGTGCTTTAAATAAATCTCCATCCTTGGCCTTGTATCTACTTAGTAGATCTGACACTTAGGATATACAGTGTTGTTGGTTTTTTTTAGTTTCTCTCTCTCTCTTCACATACACGTCGCCCGCGTGGTGCATTGGTTAGAGCGTCTGCTCTAGAGCGCCAAGTAAGGAGTTGATCCTTACGTCGCAGCTTCAAATCCCACTGTGGGACGTGGAGACAGTCCTTCGGATGAGACCGTATAAACCGAGGTCCCGTGACTGTCGCAGTAGGTGTTGGCATGAAAAAGATCCCTCACTGCTAAATGGCTGTAAGTGCAGAGCATAGGACAAAATTTGCACAAACAAACTCTACACCCACCCACCCACTCTCACACACACCCTCACACACACACACACACATATATATATATATATATATATATATGTGCATTACCATTCCTTAGAAATAGAAACATTTGTAAAGATTTATTTGAACTAGACTAAAGTGAAAATTTTATAAAATGCCAGCCTTCAGTGACAGCAAACATGAATAATGCATGACCTAAACTTCAAACCAAAAATTACTAGCATGGATATGTGTTAATTTATCTTCATGTGACAGATAAAAATTAATAGGCTCTGTATCTTTTGCAGCAGGCATCATAATTAATCCCTATGGAATCTCTGAAGCTTTCGGAAGTTCACAGTACTAAGAAAAATTATCTCTATTAATCAATTCAATCTTAAATAAAGAAAGGCATTCACCCCTTTACCTCAACTGGATGACAAACAGAATCAAACTTGGTGTCAAAATATGTCTTACTGCCTATAAAATCAACATACCAATTCTGAGTTTAGTAGGATAATCATTACAAAAATTACAAGAAAAAACACAGAAAATTTGTGGATGGACAGAATGACAGACACTGTCAGACAGCTTGACAGCCAGAGTGATTACTATATGGCACCTGCAAATTAATGCAGGTCCCTAAATGAAGAACTCATTGATAATGAGCTAGAAAATAGTTTGTACTTTAATGCCAAATTTTTAGATATCTCTGTCTTATTTTTATGCTTTTTTCTATATTTTTTCATATAAGAGTTCCTCACCCCTGCAGATATTATCAACAGTATCCTCTGATGGAGGGTCTCTTCTTTCTAGCATTTCCTCATCTGAAATTAGTGTATTACTGTGAATGTTATTCTCCTCCATAAGGCAGCATTGTATTTCAGCCCGTTCACCTTCAGGGTTGACTTTACTACCATCAGAGATTTTGTTAATGGCATCTTCCTCCATTAGGGGGTCTTTAATTTCAGGCAGTTCATCTTCAGGTATGATTTTGCTACCACAAGACTCTGGTACACCAGTTTTGTTCTTTTCCAAAGTATCTAAGCCACATTCATCTGAAGAAACATCATACATATGTGCAAATGAATATCAATCAACATTCATCAAAACCATCTATTGCACAAATTATTTTAGTGATAGGCATATACTAAATTGTACCCCGATTCTCTTAAAATGTAATTATATCAAATGTTCATTTAAAACAAGTTTTCACTGGGTCAGAATTCAATATTTTGCTTTATCATATTCATTTCAGTAGATAGAAGTGGTCATCTTTATAACCTTCTCAAAATATCATTTTAGAATTTTTACAGCCCCCCTTTTAAAAAGTACTCAAAAGTAGTAGGAGAAAAAAATATAGGTAACTTCAAAATGAAGGAATAGTGGGGTCAAGTTCATAGGGATGGTCAACGTTACAAAATATGACACAGATGAATAGTTCCAAGCAATATGTATCAGTTTAAGACTTTGGACAAAAATATCTTGAACTAGATACTTATTGCCTAGGCAATAACAGGTCTTCCGTTTTCTTGACTTCTTTGAAAAACAAACAGAATCTTCTCAATAAGATTACTCTAAATAATTAACAAAAGTTATCTCAAGGCTTCCAAAGATATGTAAATACAAGTAAAAACAAACGGAATTACTTTCCTGTTTTCTTTATGTACTTCGTCGTGAACGAAAGTGCTCCAAACGAATAAAATGTTCATTCTACACCTAAATTATTCACAACTGATCATCCTTAAAAGTTTCCATGAAAAACTACTCATGTTTGAGACAACTTCCGGGTTTTCGGTTGGCACTTCCGGTGAAAATAATTTGCATGGTTATGGTCTACCTAACATTCGCATTAGCCAAACATTTCTGTAAAAAGAAGAAAAAACTTTAAAAATTCACTTTTTTCATCGCTTCCTGTCACTACCGGAAGTGACGGCAACGTACGATTTTTACATGATGTAGATAAACTGAGGACTGACTATTAGTTCTGAAAGTTTTAGACTTCAGCAATGTACTGTTTCTGAGCAATTTGGTGAACAAAATCTCAATTTGAGGACAGAAAAACACGCGACCGGAAGTGCATTTTCATATTAAGATGGTTATCGTCACACTAGGCAATTGCAGCCTCAATAAAATATATGAAAACCATTTCAAAGACTTTATATATAAGCAATATTTTTGGGAAAGTTAAAAATCCCAATTACATAGTTTTCTCTTATAACCGGAAGTTGTCGTTTTTTGTTTCCAGTGAGACCAACACATATAGAAACTGTGAAAGAGATTCAATTATATGATGCAAGTTTTATTTCAAAAGATAAAAGATAAAATTTTTGATTTCTTTGATCACTTCCTGTGACGACCGGAAGTGACGGCTGACGCTCTTAACCCAAAGGGTTTTGCCTACTCATTAAGTTCTATTACTCATATAAGTTTGGTGTCTTAATCTCTTACCGTTTTTGAGATCTCACTTTGACAAGTTCTTATTTTGCGGACAGTAAAACATGCGACCGGAAGTGAATTTTACCAAGATATTTGACGTTACTCTAGACATTAGCAGTCTAAATAACATATCTAAAAATCATTTCAAATACTTCATCTATAAGCGATATTTATGGGAAAGTAAAATGCTCAAATTATGTAGTTTTTCGCTTATAACCGGAAGTTGACGTTTCTGTTTCCGGTGGGACCAACATATTTCGAAACCACAAAACAGATGCAATAATGTCATGCAAGATTTAATCAAAAACAGAAAAGTTAAAATTTTTGATTTCTTTGATCACTTTCTGTGACGACCGGAAGTGACGGCTGACGGATTTAAAGATATTCTACAAACCTACTTGTCATGGTCTATAATCCCTGAAAGTTTGGTGTCTTAATCTTTTACCGTTTCTGAGAAAACGTCCGGACATGAACTCTTTTGAAAAAACGGAAATCGGACATATCTGACGACCGGAAGTGAATTTTGCAAAATCCTTAAAAATGATTTTAGTTTATTTAATTCTACATAATCCCTGAAAGTTTCAAGAAAATCCATCGAGACATCTCTGAGAAATCGCTTGGACAAAAAATGGGAAAAAAAAAATAATAATAATAATAATAAACAGTACAATCACTATAAGGTCTTCCGACTGAAACGGAAGACCTTAATAATTACTTTGAAATTGATATAAATACAAAATAGGGAATAGTGAGGTCTGAGTCAAAGGGAAGGTCAAGGTCATAAAAATATTCCAGACTTGAATGGTATCAATGTATGAATAGTGGTTAAAATATCTTGAACAGTTTCTTTGAAACATCTTCAACAGTTTCTTTGAAATACCTTCAACAGTTTCTTTGAAACTGGGCGAAATGCAAAGTGTGAAGAATGGACAGATGGAAAGACAGGTAGAGGAATGGAAAGAAAGACATGACAAATATTATATGCCCAGGCTATATTCATAGCTGTGCATAAAATATCACTCTTACTTAATGCCTCAATTTCCTTTGGGTCTTGGATAGAAAGCAGGTCAAATTTACAGACTGGTTCTAAAGCACCTTCTTTAGAGTCATCTGTGGATAAAACATACTATTTATTTTAAGTACACTGAACATGTACAAGGGCTTTTCAAAAAGTTTGTGGACAGTGTTGGTCTTTGTTACTGTACAATAAAATCAAGAAATTCAAGATCAGCATATTATCACATGTAAAAAAAAAAATCATTTTCTTGATGCGCCTAGTTTCATTCAGTTTGTTTTAATGGAATTCATTTTACTTAATTCTATAATTAACGTTTTGCTATGCGGAGCACACTTAACAGCATTAATGTCAAAAAATGAGTTTCTCAAAAATACTCTCTCTATAAATTTCACACATAGTCTTACACCATATCCACTTCAAAATTCTTACTATATTTTTTTTCCATTTTGCACCATTCAAGAGATACATGTATGACTATATAACCATCATCAAGTGCATTGTTTGTAAATTTCTAAATTTTGACCTGCCCCATGATCCCATTTTTGCAGTTTTAGATTTTGTATAAGTTTGAAATATATCAATTTAAGAATGATATATTTGAAGTTTTAAATTCAAACCATTTGAATTTATTATCAAACTATGTCTTCCAAATATGAATATGAAATAATGTTAAATAAAAGAAGTTATGAAAGTCCGTGAACTTCCCGAACAGCCCTTGAACTTTTATATGCTTACGAGGGTTGTCCAAAAAGTGCATGGACAATGGCGTTTTTGTCAAAATGAATAGTTCAAGATATGCTTATTGTATACCAATTTGAAAATATTAGTTATGAAAATCCAAGTCGGAATAGTTTCGTTTTTATTGTTTGAACTTAATATTTTTGCAAAAATCTCCGTCATTAAAGGTCGCCGATAGTGCGCACGGACCAGGGTTAAAATGCCATGAACTTTTAAATAAAGTGATCTGATTGAAATGATTTTTTTCTTTTTAAAACGAGTCAAAGCTGAATAAAAATTTAACATATCACAAATAAAGCGGTTATCGCCATTTTCCGATACCTTTAGTATCGCTTACTAAATAGACAATGAAAATATTAAGTGAAAACCGCAAGAAGTACGTTTCAAAAATTGACAGAAAAAGCGATGTCGCCCATCCGAACAGGACAGTGTCCAATCATACAATTATGGTTAATATAGTTGAAAAGTCGTCAAAAACAAAATATTTATTCAAACAACTTAAATTTATTGGAAAATATTTAGTCTAGTGATTTGTAATTGGTGTATACGATTTTTCAACGGTGTGTAAAATTTTGGAGACACTACAAGAAGTGGAAAACCACTGTTATTTGATGAAAATAGGATATATTCCTATTCATTACGTTGTTATAAATATAGCGCTGTCGGGCTGGCTGTGCATCCTGTGTTTCTGAAGTGTTAATATTGATGATGCTGGTAAATTATTGTGTATTGTTTTGAATTTTAAAATTTAAATTAATTATAATCTATATATAAATATTACTGCACACATTTGGCAATGTGGCATAATAAAAAAAATAGTGTGCGTCTATGAACATGCGATAAAAATTCAAAATTCATATTTCTGACGTTATCATGAAATAAGTGTTACGTCAGACTGGCCCGTGCGACTTGCATATACAAAGTATTTACACCTATAATGTTCAGTAAATAGTGTGCATTGTTTTATTTTTTTGTACATTTACTCAATCATGGTCTATATTAAGATATCATTGTACATGTTTGCCATTGCGGACTTTATAAATGAAAATTAAGCATCTGTCCACGAACTTTTTGGACAACCCTCGTAACTGTCATTTAACATGTTTAAAGAACAATAACAACATTCCTGTCTGTAAGACTTATACTCAACAGTTAAAAAAGAATCCCCTCGCAACACTGCTAAGTACCATTAAGATCAACATAGTTATTACCTGGGTATACACAAGAAAAACTGTGCATTTCAAACGTGGATGTTCAATTATCAAACCCTTCCAATGAGCAAGGTATCAAAATAATTTATGAACATATACGCTTTATATTACCATTAATAATATCATAATGACTCCCTTGTAACCGCAAATGAAGCCACATCGGGGAATTTTGTTCTGATCTGGCTCTTATAACCTGTAAAGGCTGTGACATTTCTCCATTCATGCCATAATATGACACAAATATGTTTATTCCGTATAAGTCTGCCGCAGCTTGAACCATGGCATCTTCTGCCCAGACACAATCTTGCCTATGATTCCTGTTAAAACATGATCATAAATTACTGGCATCATTCACCTCAGCAATTATTTTATAGTTGTTAACTATTGGAAACTATAATTTTGAATAAGGCACAAAATATATGTGAAACAAAAGAAGTGTCTTTTCTTTAGTTTTATTCTTTTTCACTGAAATAAGATGACAGTGTATATCACTCCAAAGTGGGCAATTCACCTCTTCCCGACTCCCTACAATGCATGTAATACTATATCCACCGACGGATACAAGTAAATACCTTTTTTTAATTGATTTAAAGCACATTTGTACAGATATATGATTTATAATTCATTTTCTTAACACAAATTTTCTGATCAACTTTCATAATCATAATACATGGTAAAAAATAAAACATGTAAACATTATAAAGAAAAAAGCCCAAAAATACAAGTAGTGACAGCTAGTGCCAAATAAAAAAATATGTGTGGTTCCGGTTACCCGACCATCTCTATTTTACACCCCTGACCCTAAACTTTTTTTTTCGGCAATTTTCATATTTTTCTGGAATTTTCTCCGAATTCCACAATGTTCCATCATGGGCTCCGGTATTAGTTTTAGTTTCATCAATGGCGACCTCCTTGCAAAACATCGTTTCAACATATAGTGCAAGTGTTTCATAGTCTTAAATCTAAAGCAAGCTAGCATGGCACGGCAGCATGCCTTTTTTTCCAGCACCATGTTTTTATTTTTGTTTTTGGCCAGCCAAATTTAAATATGCCTTACAGTGGGAAGATTCACTAATAGTTGCTAAGTTTAACCAGCACATACTGATTAGCCCCTTTATTTATTTAATGCACGCAAAGGTGTGAAGTCAGGAGGAGGTCAACATTACCGCTACATTTCTTCGAAATTTCGGGTGATCATTACCCCTACATTTTATCAGTAAGACTATTGCCGATTACAACTCATTACCGCTACTTATTGAATCAGCCAGCAATGGCCCGGAATATATTGTATGTGTACTTAAAAAAGTGGGCTTCATATTTTAGTGTCTTTGGCGCAGACAACAAATGCGCTAATTCATGAATACCACTAAGGAATCATTTATAAATACAATGTACGTCACGGACATGTATAGAGCTAATTCATGATTTCGCCAACAACTCCATACCCAGTGATTGTGATAAATTTTGAATTTTCCAATTTATGTACACATATAGTAAGTTCTATTCATTATAATTCATAACAGAGATTTCAAGAAAGCAGCACGTCAAGCAAATGGTCTTCAAAGCTCTACCAATTAGGTAAAGACTATGTGTTTTATCCAAGAATGATGCTTGGTTTTAACACTTTCTTAAATATTTTATTAAATAAAATAGATTTTAAATAAAAATTGAAAACAACAACATTCTGCTCAAAGTCTTACTTTCACCTCCCCATGGTGAGCAGGGGAAACAGGTCTTACGGATGTACATTTTGTATTTTAAATCAATCTGTACATTAGCCGCTGGTTATAATGAAAGAGGTAATGCAGCGGTAATGTATACTTTTAAATGCAGCGGTAATGTAACCTTTTTGTAGCAGTAATTATAATGAGTATGTAGGGGTAATGACATTTTTTGAAAATGTAGCGGTAATGATACGCATCCAAGTCAGGATAGGAAATCACTTCTCACTTGAATGCACACAGACAGCTGGCCAGGTAACATGCCTTTGGGAGTTAGGGGGATGATAAAATGAGAAAATATCATTTGATTGCATTGATTGCACAAGAATTAGCCCAATGTGTTAGATTAACTTGTAAATTATTAAATAATTTATATCAGTATCTTTTCTTTTAAAACGAAAGTAGAAAAAAAACAGTTGATGAGGAAAAGTGACAAACAAGACAGCTGATTTTACCTGAATAAAGTCAACTTATAGTAAAAATAATTGATATATATGAGAAATGAGCTTGGAAGTATGAAGTCTTCAATGAGGCAAAAAGTTTTCATTGTAAGAATTTAAGATTTTAACAATATTAAATATTTATAATTCTCAACACATGAATGATTCTATGTCACATTGCTTATGTGGTTTATTTTGTTTTCAACATTACTGTACAAAGTATAGGTGTCACATTCCTCTGACAGCTCTTAGCAGTGCTCTTTGTCCATTTTCTATTTTATTGTTCTAAATTTATTATTGAATGAAATAAGAATTACTCTGGATAAAAGTCATTAATTTCATTTATAAACATGAACTGAAAGAAGGATGTTCACCTCAAACTTTTTTCTTTTTACCAACAAAGAAAAAAAAAGATCATTTCAATTTATTTGTGTTTTTATTATTTTTGACTTTAAAAAAATTGTTTGATTTTCATAACTAGGGTGCCCCCTACCAATGTTGACTAGTATATTATCACACCACATCTAAATACCATTTGCAAAGCAGTGCTAGGTATTATTTAGAAAAACAAGAGGCCCAAGGGCCTTAACGGTCACCTGAGTATAATACAACAATTTAGAGGATCCATAGAGTATAAAATGAACTGAAAGGTGAAGCTTTGTTGCCCAAAAGCAAGAAAAATAGGGTGATCAGGATTAACAAAATAATTAGTCTAGTATTCATTAACAGTTCATAAATTAGGTTCTAATCTGTTCCCCATTTATCACTCTCACCAGACAGTATATTAAGAAACTATCAGTGCTTCTGTACTCTTTTAATTCCTTGTGGAAATCTCTTACATTGGCCTGAGTAAGACTCTTGGTCTTTGATGAACATTTAAGGTACTGGTATTCCATCCCTAATAGCCTCAGATTCAATGAATTTGAATACATAACAGATGTGTACGGGTGGAATACTCAGTATATTTAGACATAATCTCCATTTATTACTATTAGCATGTAAGAATGGAAGTGTCCTAATTTATGACTTGACCTTTGTTGAAGAGTTATCTCCCTCTTTTTTTAAGTAATAAAAATCAATTTTAAAAAAATATACGATAAAAAAATTGTTTTCAATTGTCATTCTATTTCTAATGATTTAATGGATCTTTCCACCACAGTAGTTATTGATATTCTTATTATCTGAATTTTTATTTTAAAAAAATCACTTGTCTCCATAGACTTCAATGCAATTTCTATTAATTAAATACTGCTTAGTTAATTACGTTTTTGAAACATTCACTTGGTAAATCCTTTTCTAATGTAAAGTTCTTTGAATTAATATCAGAGTATTATATACGTGATTGATATTTAAGGATAGAGAATTAGTTCCTATTAGGGATGGAAAACCTTAATAAGACAAGTCTACCTGATCATTAAAACTATGAAAGTACTTTTTGTATTATACAATAAAAATTCTTGCATAATTCTCTTATTCTATTAACCTTTCAAGTACATTATTTACAGTGATTAATTATCACAAGTAAATGGCAAAGGGGAATAACTCCTCTCAGTAGAATAAAAATTAATAGAGCCCTGGCCTGGACTAGAACACTTGACCGAATGGTTCTGATGTTCAAAAATCTGATAAAAATACCCTTCCTTATTAAAACTTTTACTCTTTTTGCCTCTGATATGCCCAGGTGCAAAGAAGATTTTTAAAGCATTAATGCATTTTCACTGTATAATAAATAGAGTCTCGCCCTAACATCAGAACCTCTGATCCAGGGGTCATGAAATTCACAAATTTGGAAAAGGCATCCTTGCTTATCATAACCATGTATTTGTTTAAATAATACCCAGGAGAAGAGAAGAAGCTTTTCAAAGAAATAATGCACTTTCACTATATGATCTATATAGCCCCACCCTAGCACCAGAACCCCTGACCCTGGGGCTATGAATTTCACAATTTTGGTAGAGTCACTCTTGCTCATCATAACTATGTATTCGATTTGTTTCAATAATACCCAGGAGTAGAGAAGAAGATTTTCAAAGAAATAATGCACTTTCACTATATGATCTATATAGCCCCGCCCTAGCACCAGAACCCCTGACCCTGGGGCTATGAATTTCACAATTTTGGTAGAGTTACTCTTGCTTATCATAACTATGTATTCAATTTGTTTCAATAATACCGAGGAGTAGAGTAGAGGATTTTCAAAGAATTAATGCATTTTCATTATATAATCAAAAGAGCCCCTCACTAGCACCAGAACCCCTGACCCAGGGGCTATGAATTTCACAATTTTGGAAAAGGCATCCTTGCTTATCATAACTATGTATTCGATTTGTTTCAATAATATCCAGGAGTAGAGAAGAAGATTTTCAAAGAAATAATGCACTTTCACTATATGATCTATATAGCCCCGCCCTAGCACCAGAACCCCTGACCCTGGGGCTATGAATTTCACAATTTTGGTAGAGTCACTCTTGCTCATCATAACTATGTATTCGATTGGTTTCAATAATACCAAGGAGTAGAGAAGAAGATTTTCAAAGAAATAATGCACTTTCACTATATGATCTATATAGCCCCGCCCTAGCACCAGAACCCCTGACCCTGGGGCTATGAATTTCACAATTTTGGTAGAGTCACCCTTGCTTATCATAACTATGTATTCAATTTGTTTCAATAATACCCAGGAGTAGAGAAGAAGATTTTCAAAGAAATAATACACTTTCACTATATGATCTATATAGCCCCGCCCTAGCACCAGAACCCCTGACCCTGGGGCCATGAATTTCAAAATTTTGGTAGAGGGCTCAATGCTTATTACAATCATGCCAACAGTTTGACTGCTTGATGTCCAGGAGTAAAGAAGAAGATTTTTAAAGATTGCATTAATTTTGATGGTTTTGGCCCCACCCCTCAGGCCCCAGGGGGGCAGGGGCCACGAATTTCACAATTTTTGTTCCCCTTCACCCATGGATGCTATATGCCAAAATTGGTTGAAATTGGTTCACTGGTTCCAGAGAAGAAGCTGAAAATGTTCAAAAGTTTACGACCGACGAACGACGGACGACGACGGACGAAAAGAGATAGCAATAGGTCACCTGAGTGACTCAGGTGACCTAAAAATTAGAAAATCATTTTGTAAAAAAAAAAAAAAATCCCTACCTACCCTAATTTTTTGGGAGGTGTAACCGGAACCACACATATCTTTTTTTTGCCTAGTACATGTACTACTGATAATAACAAACCTAATATATCCAGCATAATCCTGATTTCTATCAATCAAACCTGCATATCGATCCTCTCGATTCGACATGAAGTTCATGATTTCCTGACGCACAAATCTGTAATTCTCCTGGCTGTGATACCTATAGAGGGACAGAGATCGGTAAAAGCAGTTACCGTCTCTTTCAATTCGTTTTCCTTCAGACGGGTCAGCACCTATCAATAATCATAATATTAAGTGTTCAAAATATCAGGGATTTCAAAATTAAAAATGGTAATTATGAAACATATACTCATAAAAATCAGGGGGGAAAAAAAAGAAATCTCTAAAGGACAAGGTATGGTAATGGCCCAATCTGGCCCCTTATTTGACGTAAAAATCAGAACACAGTTAAAATTGTGATAGTTTGTAGTTAAGAACTTAAAATGATGCTTGTTTTAAAACCAGCACTAACTTTGATTCAAAGCTTACACGGAGGCCACAAGAGGGTGCAAAAGTAGGACATTTTCCCAAATTTCCTCAATTCTGGTCAAATTTTGTCAAATTTGAGATACATTTCACTTCGGGAAACACAGAGCACAAGCTTGCCTATCTGAGATTTTTATACACAAGATGCATCTGATACTAGTGATTGATTGATTATTATTGTTTTACGCCGAGTCGGCAATATTTCAGCCATATTTCGGCGGTCTGATACTAGTGTATGAAATATATAAATTTGGTAGATAGGCAAGCTTGTGCTCTATGTTTTCTGAACCAAAATATGCTGTAAAATCAATTAAAATTTGCATAAAAATGAGAAAATTCGGAAATTGACATATTTTCTGACCTTCCTGTGACCTCTGTGTATCCCATAACTTAGAACCAATACTCATTTTGTGGCAGGGGTGACAACAGGTTTTTAACTGATAAACTGTTGCATCATTCTAAAAGACACCCCAAAACGGGGGCCAAAAAGGGGTCTTAGCCTATCTTGTCCTTTGGGATAAATAAAGGCAAGTCTCAAAATATTCCCTCTGTGTACATGGCTAGGTTAAGGACTCCCATATTTACATCAGCCTAATATGCAGAGTTTGGAAAAAACAAGTGACATCAGGTTAAAACAATACATGAATCTGGATGAATAAACATATGAAATATTCTTTTTATTAAACACTCATTGACAAATACTTTCATTTTCTATAAATAATATAAATTGATGTAACTTATCTTGCCATACTAGCATTAAAGAAAAATAGAATGAAAGCTAATTTATCTCACTGGACTGAGATGGTGTCACTGACTAGTTTGATACATACATGTAAGTTTCTCTGTATTTGAGGCATGGAGCAGGCTATTATCTTAGCTTGTATATCAAAATTAATATGAAACAGGTGTGATATGACCAAGATGGAGACAAATTCTTGAATAAATTAATCAATATTTTATATTCTTACTAACTAAATTCACAACATAAAACTAGAACTGTCCAAAAAGGACAAATACCCCCCGCTGGGTTTTTCAGAGGTGCCAAATCACTAACATTTTATGGATCTAAGAGGTGTTCATAATTTTCTTATAAACATTTAGAGTGAAAAACTAATTATATTTTTTAATGAATGAAACCAAGGAACAACCGAATAAAACATCAATACCAATACATTGTTATTACATTGTTTCTTTTTAATACATTGAAAAAATAAATTGCAACTATCTGTCATCTTTTTGAGACATGACACCCTGCAAATTGATTGTTGAAAAAAATCAATTAATTACAAAATCAAATTAATCTTGATAACTTTATATCAAATTCATTTTAAAAATAAAAGGCTGGTCATCCAGTAACTATGTACTGACAGACAATAAATTACAATTAAGAGAATTAAAGAACAGAGATCTTTAAATTCTCATGAGATATAGATAACACATGCTTGATCAGAGATGCCCCAACAACTTCCTGCACTGAACTCATTAATTTGTCTTTAACTGGATGATGTCCACTCATTACTCCCAAGGGACAAATGGATTTACACTATCTGCTGTGTAATGTAAAAATTGTTTTTAATGCTTGATGATTTTTGTTTTTTGTTTTTTGTTTTAATGAATAGTTTTAAGCTGTAGTTCACATTTTTGTACAGATGTTCTAGATTCTATGTCTCAATTCTTAGAAATAAACCCAAAATGACTAAGTCAATAAAAATGAAAAAAAAAAAACCTGTAAAATGCAGAAAAATTATCAAATAATGTTGAAAATACCAGGTGCATATCTTCATATGGTAAATAATGAGTGTACAAATTTTCAAACAATTCTATGAAATAGTCTTTGAGAAAAGGTCAGGACAAAAGCACATAATAAAAATGAAAAAAAAACACCTGTAAATGCAGAAAAATTATTCAATCATGATGAAAATACCAGGTGCACACCTTCATATGGTGAATAATAAGTGTACAAATTTTCAGACAAATCTATGCAATAGTTTCCGAGAAACCCTCTGGACCAAATCTTGCCTACAGACAGACGGACATGGTGATTCCAATATACCCCCCCTAAACTTCGTTGCGGGGGGTATAAAAACTTCGTTTGCGGGGGGTATAATTATAGACCTTATGTAAAGCTGTAGCAAGGAATACTTGTACTGTATCTTACTAAAATGACAGGCAGAACCCTTTGAGAATCCCAAAAGTTCAATTCACTAAAAATTTTGAGTTTTTAAACACATGTAGCTATTATCTCTACTAATTTGAAAAGTGCTAGGAACTGGTTGCAAGCTGTTGCTTTATTCTGTAATTAACATATTAATAAATTAATAATTAACACGTACCTGAGCATGCCATGTGAGGTACTGTTTATTGCCACCGAAAAACTAATCAAAATTTAATGTCATTGAAATACAAACACCTATTCTTATTTTTGCAAACCAGACAACACACGGAAAGAAATGATCAATACTCCACAATTTTGCATTTCCTTTTCTTGTATAAAATAATACAAAATAATTAATTCAAACTGACATCATTCTACTTGCTTGTGCTATATGTTATGAATAATTTTGAGGTATAGCAACCAATGAGAATTTAGGTCACCAATTGAGAGACGCTAATTATGCACAGTCAAGGATGCCACGCCCTACCAAAAGTCCAAGGTCAACAGAGATTTGTACCATCTGTCAATGCAATATTATACATTCATTGACTGTGTTCTCGGGCAACATGTGTTTTGTCGGACCCAAGAACCAAACTATTTGCCTGAGGCCGTTAGGTCGAAGGCAAACAGTTTGGTTCTTGGGTCAGACGAAACACATGTTGCCCGAGAACACAGTCAATAAATGTTTTGTTATACCTTTTATTTATATATTTTATCATTTTCTTTTTTTGGACATACATGTATGTCGAACACCAACGAATGCAAATGAGATTTAGCTGACCCCGCCCATTATGTGAGGTAAGCAGTCCAACATCTCATCGACAGGTCTCACTAGTGTTGTACCGATAATCAGAAAACATCAATTGTCAACGAAAAAATGCTACCGATTTTGATGATCGATTATAATTTTTCATAATCAATCATAGGAAACATACTTCAAATATAATATACTCCGAAATTATCCATTTCTGGTTTAAAATTTATTTCTTCTTAATGAAAGAAAATGATGTCTGCATCTGATACTAGCCAACTAGCACGAAGCAGAGGTGATTAAGAACCGAAAGGTGCATATATAGGGACTAAAAAAAATTATGTTTGTTTCCTGTAACCCGACCGACCCATTCAATTTACCCCCGGGTGGATTTTTTTTTCTGCCAAATGTTTGTTTGCTCTTTGGTTTGATCAATCAGCTGATTCTTTTTATTTAAAAAATATTAACTGTATCTTTTTTTTGATATAAGATATGCAACTTAGTCAACATTTACATTAAATATAAAGAGTAATCAATTCCCCCCACAACTTTTTGAAGTTCGTTTTCTGCCACTAGGCAGCCATGTCGGGTGTCCACTGTAAATATTACACCTAGATAATTCAGTCCCAGGATGTTTGACCCCCTTATTCATAAGCAAAGAAAAAAAAAAATTCCCGACCTACCGACCGTTGATTTTTTGGGAATGTTACAGGAAACAAACATATTTTTTTAGGCCTAGAAAGTGTAAAAGAAGCAAAACAACAAAGAAAATAATACATTTTATATTTTATATATTCATGTTAAAGAAATAATATGAAATAATTGTAAAAGTCTGTTTTTTTTGTATACAAAACTATGAAATCCAATTATAATTGGTAAAATCGCATCGGAAGCAGTAACCGATTCCAACCGATGATTGATTATGAAAATAAACCAATGTCCCATCACTAGGTCTCATTCCGCGGTCAAAGATCGATTTTTTTATGCCCGCACAGTAAAACATTGGAAATGTTAGACTTTTATTAGTATTGATTTATACATGTTATATAGGAACAAATTTTTAAAGGTTTAACAAAACTTTGTTAGAGAGAAAATGCCTTCTTTAAAATGATCAACATGGATATTTTGTTATAAAAGAATAAGCATCAATTTGAAAATTTCAAAATTAAAAGAATATTTAATGTTTTAATACTTCATGGTTAACAATTTCATTGACTTCTTAATTTTGGAACTTTTTTGATGGATGGCTAATGAGCCTAATCATAACTTACTTTCTCTTGGTGGAATGGGTTTCACAGAATGTGGCTTTGTGGGCTTTATGGCACCAACACCTGTACCCAGCAACACCAGCAGAAGAACAGTGCTAATGCCCATGGTGATCAACAATGGAATCTGTCCCACAAGTCAACCTGTAATCATGGAAATTAACAAACCATAAATTTAGTAAATTTATTTATGAATGCAAATGAAAAAAAATTATCAGAAATTACAATCACAAAAATTGTACATATACTAGAATGGTCCAAGGAACAAGTGTCACCTGCTATAGCTTATAAAGACATGGATAAAGCTAAAGGTTGGTCATTCATGGATTTATCAGTACCTTCTCAGGGTCCGAAATTCAGCCCCATTCCCAATTGAAAATAAGTTCAATTTTTCCCAATTTGGCAGTATTTTTCCCAATTGGTGAGCAATGCTTTTATATTTAATTAACTTGGAAAAACACTGAGTAAAATTGTCAGATTGTCTGTAATTTTCCTCTATGTAACTCATTACCGTCTTCCTTGGAAGACGGTATACAGAGTTGAAGAATTTTACAGTCTTCGGACTTCGCACCTCCTCTCTTTTGTGATTGGTAGAAATTGCATGATGAGAAAATTTTCAATTATTTCATTGGTTGAAATGCTGTTCAAAGCAAGGGAGATAATTTTCTGATGGTCTAATTTTCGTACAGACCCTGAAACGTGCTACTACCCCAAAAAAGCGTGTAACTTTCGTGCGCTTTTCGTTTCGTGCAAACCGTGTAGCGTTTCGTGTAAACCGTGCAGCGTTTCGTGTAAACCGTGCAGCGTTTCGTGCAAACCGTGTAGCGTTTCGTGTAAACCGTGCAGCGTTTCGTGTAAGCTCCAAAGCGTTTCGTGCAAACCGTGTAGCGAGCGTGCGAGAAGCGTGTGAGAAATGTGCGACTTTCGTGTAAGAACCGTGTGAGAAACGTGCGACTTTCGTGCAAGAATCGTGTGAGAAACGTGTAAGATTCATTCGGAAGTCATTTTATTTTAAATATGGCTATTGATGGATTAACATGTCATTCTGTGTTGTTTGTTACTAATATTATTCGGATATATCATACCGGTGGTATTTTAAGGAAAAAAAATACGGAAACAAAATAAAATTACTCAGTAATGTATTTCATATTTGTTTGATTTTCTTTCTTTTTTCATTTAAATAAAGATGGAAAGAAAATGTGTTAAAAGTAATTAATTATATTCACATCAATGTTAAGGTATTTGATTTAATACATTTTTTAAAGGGAGCAATGCTGAACATTTTTTTAAAGGAAATTCATCAGGAATCCGGTCTTGTCCATTTCATTCATTTATTTATTAGAATATCTTCATCATTTTACAATTATGGTATATAGAGATTACAAGAACATATGTGTAATTAATACAAAATAATAGACAGATAAGGCAGGCGTGAAAAATAAAACACAAAATTTAGTGCGTTGCTATAAATGTGGAGTATAGGCAGGGGAACACAATATTTTTCTTTATAAACGAACAAAATTTTCTTATATAACAAGATTGTGATACAAATAATTTTGAAACGATGAGTCATTTATAGTCTTTTTATGCAAAAAATTGGTTGATTAATAATTGTCATATAAAGGAATCATAATTCACATGCATCGGCAAATATAGGGTTAAATATTTCCGGGGGGGGGGGGGGGGGGGGGGGGGGGTTCAAATGAAAACACAAACTTTGAGTTTTTGTTAACACGTTTTTATAAATAATCTTCTTTTTAAAGATGCCCGATGCACCCCTTAAAAATATATTGGAATCTTCTTTACACTTCCAACACTCTTCTTACGACTGTGATCAAGTCATTTACAACAACGATCACGGGCTCCGCGTGCCGGGAACTGAAAACGTGTTCTGCTACGTGTATTACCTCTTGTCAATCATGGCAATCATGGCTAAGATGACAACCGACAATAATTCATGAATTAAATTGTTTTATTAGTATTTAATGGGTAGAAATAAATACCTGTGGATTTTATTTCTTAAATTTAACCGATTGTCTGTGAACAGTGAATTAATTTGCCAGTGTATTCCTCAACAAAAAATTATAAAGAAATAAATCCTGAATAATTATGTACATGTATTCGTTGTTTTATTAATCAGTTCTAGAGCATAATTTTTTTTTAGTTTTTGGTCATTGGACATGTATACATGTACATATGTATATTGAATGTATTGTTAAGAGCGGCGACTATTGATTACATTTTTTTTTTTGGCTAGACGGGGTTTGAAATCAAGGATTTTACAAGGTGGTGGATATATTGTTTTTATTTGATTAACACAGTGCCTCAAAAGAGAACTAAAGAATTACAATACCTATCCCCCGGCTTCTCTACCATATAAAATTTTATGATAAATTAAAGTTCAACTCTGTAATGAAACGATATATTTACCATTCTGAATAAAGTGCATTTAATGAGTTACATGTACATGTATCGGGTCCCGCTGGAGATACGGATATCTTTTTTTCTTAGAACGAGCATTTGTTTATATAATAATTTTTTTTTCAATGGTATGCTTACTGAAACAAGTGCCCGTTATATTTATTCAGGTATAGAAGTAAGATCTCGGTAATCTACCCCCCCCCCTTTTTCACGCAAAATGTTCTTGTTTGATGCAGTGGGCATGTACTTATTACCTTTGCAAATTATAAGCAGAACCTAATTTGATCAAATGAAATTATTTATTTACTAAATTAAAAAATGAATAAATCAATAATTAAAAAGAAAGGAAAAGAAAATCAATCCGTTTACAGAAATCATACGCAATTTAATCATTTGTTTTTCAAATCAATAACTGAGTTTAACAGTAATAAAAACGACTTTTTACTATCAAACTATAGTTGTAAAAACATTGAATGCTCTAAAAGATTATGAATTACAAATATTTTTCTTTTTTCAGTGCGTAATTTAGTGTCTAATGAAAAAGGTTTGTACATAGACGATGATAGTCATTTCACCGGGCGGGTCACATACTCAGTGACAACTATTGATTAATTACAACTGAACATTGAGTATTTTATCTGTTAATATAGTACTGGTGAAGCGAGGTTTAATCTTAACTTAATCAGAATGATTGCAATTCTTAACTAATCTTTGATTAATCCGTAATAATTTAAATAAAGTCCGAGAGATTCCGAATAGAAAATCCAGATCGAGGCCAAAGCGTGCGAGAATCGTGTACAAAGCGTGTGAGAAACGTGTACAAAGCGTTTCGTGCAGGCTTTCGTGTAAACCGTACAGCCTTTCGTGCAAAGCGTTTCTTGTAAACCGTGTAGCGTTTCGTACAAACTGTGTAGCGTTTCGTGTAAACCGTGCAGCGTTTCGTGCAAACCGTGTAGCGAGCGTGTACCGTTCGTGCAGCGAGCGTGTGGGGTAGTAGCACGTTTCAGGGTCTGTATAACTTAACAATTTTTCAAGATTTTCAATCGTAAAAAAATATGACAAAACAAACAGTGGAAATTGGCAGCAATTAATTCCAAATAACATGCTAGTTTATATAGCAATTACCAAAAAGCGTTTCTATATTTTCATTGTTAACAGAATTGATCTTTATTGCATGCAAGCTTTACAGCTTGTATGTATTCTTTTTCCCTTTGTTTTACACTGTCTTTCTAATCTCGGCAGCACTCGGCAACACCTCGGCCTCATCTACATAATTATCACAAAGGTGAAGGAATCAGTTGAGGTTTGCCAAATGATCGCAGCAGCAAAGTTAAAGTTTACAGAGACAGCCGAGCATCTGTTAACAATTCACTTGGGAGGGCTTATGTCAGAAAAAACTAGTAAAGAAATACAAAGCCAAGAAATTTTCAAGAATTATACGACCTGGATAGGTTTAGGTCAGTTTACTGTTTACGGTTATTCCTAAAGACGGTAAGCTTTTTTAAAAAGCTCTACTTGTTTAGCAAAGCTACAGTCATAACACATGTTTTAAAAACACTGTAAAACATTGCAGACTTTTAATCCAAATTTCCTCCGTTTTTCTGAAAATGGTGATATTGTGTGAAAATGTAGATTTATTAAGTTATTTCCACCTACTCAATTGATCTATGAGTGAATGGTAAGAACTGTAGATATTATTTCAGATAGAAATATATATTTTCAATGCATTTTTACATATTAAAATGGAACTTAGTATAATTTTTTTGCAGGAGGTTTATATTCTCCAGAAACAGATTCTAATGACCTAAATTGGAATTTCATACACACATGTACTACCCTAAGTTTTATAAATATTTTATACTCATAAAAGTCATATTTAGTTTTATTAGTTTATTATTATGTCAACCCAAACGAAGTCGGGGGACATATTCCTATTGTACGCATGAAAACTTTGTCCAGGGACTTTCTCGCACACGGCTGGGGCATTCTTGTTGGAACTTTCCATAAAAGATGATCAGACCAACTGTATATATGTGGAAAAAATTTTCAGTTTCAACATGGCTACCATTGCCAGGGAAACATACGAAAAGTGAAGAATTTTGTCCAGAAGTGTTCTCACTGATATCTTAGACAATGGTAATGAATCTTCATAGAAATGATAACCAGTAATTGTACTTTTGCAGATCGCATTTAAAATTTTCAATCCACCCATCCTTGCCATGGAAACAGAAGAAAAGTAAAAATTGCTAAACTTTGATTTTTCAAACTCAGGCAATTATTATGAAACTTGTACGGATTGTTCCTTATATTCTGTCAAAGAAATTTCTATTTTGAAAATTAGAATCTTTTGCAAACAAGTGCCATAGGAATGAAAGAAACAGAGAAAAGTTAATATTCACACAGATGTTTTCCGAAGTGGCTTGGACAATTGTTGTGAAAATTTACAGAAATTATAATTAGACACTCCATTTGTTCAGTCAACATTAAAAAATTTCTTAATGCCTATATATTGTTGCCATGGAAACATAGAAAATATTATTTTTTTTAAATTTTCATTTTTCTCAGTAACTAACAAAGCAAACTTTTCAAAACTTTATTGTTTTAATCCTTTCAATGTATCAAAGTGGATTCTGCATAAAATGGAATTGATGGTCAGCCAAAGGAAGTCGGGACTACTGATTGTTTTTTTCATTCACCTTACTTTTGTGTTGGGGCGTTCTCGTAGTAGGCTTAGAAAATCTTTATGAAACTTCACAGAAATAAAGGTCAACACCTATATTTGTGCGGATATATATTAAATTTTCAAAGGATGTTTAAAAACTGAAAAATTCATATTTGCAGTTTCTTGATACCAGCGGCCAAAAACGTTGTATAAACGTTTATGCTTGTTCTTTTTAAAGCTATAAATTATTCAAATTCTTTGGCTTCCTAATTTCGTTTTTCCTAATATTCCTAGGGTACGCAAGGCTTAATCTATACAGCTTAAACATATTACCAGTTTCTTGACACAATTAAGATGAAATAAAATATCTTAGCATTTCCAAAAAAACGTAGGACCAACGTTTCTTAAACACTACAAACTATTCATTTTATTTTCATTTAAGTAGTTTACGGGAACTGAAGCGCATCAATACACATGGAACAAGTGTAGAGTTAAAACTTCTCTGGTTACAGTCAGCAGACGGAAAACTTTCCTAATGCCATAGAAACGAGTTTGGTATATATCTGGTGGGCAAATTTTATTTTTATTTCCTTCTTTTTAAATATAGAAGACCAATATGTCATAGTTTACCCCCCCCCCCCTTTTTTTTGTTTTAAAGACAGCTAGGTCAATTCACAGATATAAAACTTATGATGGAAGAAGATCTTAAAGAGTTTCATGAATAAAATTCAGTTCCACTGATGTGATCTGATATTTTGGCAGGATTCAGTCTTCTTCTGTTTTGTCTTTAGAATTTATAATAATTTTATTTACAATTAAATTATCTTTAAAAGTAGCGATTGTCAGCTGTATTCATTAGCACTTCACAATTTCTTGTTCATATATTACTTGCATATGAATAATTTCATTCAGTGATAGTTATTAGAATCAATAGAATTTAATTTCCATTAATTTTTTTATTAATTTGAACTGGGATCAGCTCCCGCACGTGCGCGATGGCCTCATCACTACTGTTTAGCACGCCGAGAATGTACGTTCATGATTCTGTTAAACTAAGAAAGTTTACACATACTTTATCATCTCATAAAAAAAATTTAGCCCCTTTCCTATGTAAAAATGCCCCATTTGAAGAGGAAAATTCAGGAATTATTTTGCTTCAGCCATGTTTTGACGTGAACCTTCCTATCTTTAAATTACAGTCTGCCGTCTTCTACGGAAGATCCCTTTGTTATCCTAGGATATCAGAGAAAAATTAATCATTTCATTTTAATCCAATCAGATCTCTCAAAAACAATTTTCTTATAGATAATAATTTATATATATGAAAGGGGGGGGGGGGCTTTTTCTAAGAATACTCACTTTTTAAGCATTGGAACAATCTTACAGTTTCTGGTTCAGTTCGGGGTGACATACGCTATTGCTTGCAATAGCAGATTTTCTAGTTCATAATTGATCTTGTATGATGCAGTTGGATCATATTTAATTGTCTGTTTGGTTGCCCAAATTAGAGTTCATGCTGAAATGTTAAATGAATTAGGCCTACATCTGAATACATGATGTAAGCAAGATTTTTTATTTTTCCCAATTTCATCAAATAGCCGATAATTTTTTCCCAATTCCCCAAAAATGGCATTTCCAAAAATAGGCTAATAAATCCCTGGTGTGTTCACTGTTCAATAAAATTGGCAATTTTTACCTCATTCTGTAATTTCTATTAAATCTTATCATAAATTTTATGCAGAATGTTAAAAAAAATAAAGGGTTAAAAATTACGCCAGAAGGGTGTGTGTGTGTGTGTGTGTGTGGGTGTGTGTGTGTGTGTGCCTTTTCCCACACATTCTAGAAAGTTTCACTTTGGAAAAACTGGCATAGATCAAGGAATTGTTTAAACAGGCTAGGAAGAAATAAAATAGTTCCAGATTACCTTTTTTTTGATTGCCATAAAGAATTCAGAGAGAGAAGAAACACATATTTAATACCGATTTGCAAGTCCAAGTGTCCAATATCAGTTACATTATGTGCTTTAATAACTCCTACAAGCGAATTAAGCTGATCTAGTTAAGTGAGTTAAGAACTTTCCCTTTTGCATAAATCCATTTTCAATATACATGTATTATGTATCAAAATCGGGCTCCAGGGCCAAAAAACTTAGACAAGCTCACTTTGATCTTATAGTCTCACTTTTCCAGTATATATTCATTTTGTAAAAGTGAAACTGAGATCAAAAGTGAGCTTGTCTAAGTCTTATGGCCCTGCAGCCAGCTCTTATTGAAATTGTAAGGTATGTACTACAAACAAAACAGATTTTAGTCTTTATTTAACTTCAGGGAATCTCATCAGTAAAGTGTATAGAAGTAGAGGACATTAAGAAAAATGACATTGTAGAACCTCATAAAACAATGATCAGTGACAGTGCAGTCTGTCTGTATAATGTCTTTTTCATTTGATTGATAATTTGACAAATTATCAACATATCAAACATGGCTGTAGAATGCAGGAGGGGAGTCAGGGCGGGGGCACTTTTTATTGTTGCTATAGTAAACTTTCATTTAGATGCTGGTTGGCCCCCCACTTTTTGTTGCTGTAAGGTCAAGGATCACAAAAAAATGTACTAAAAAGTAAGAGAAAGGTCCACAACCCTCCACCACCACCACCACATATGATATGGAAATAGGATATTTTAGTTTGGACAGTTAAGAGTTTTTTTTTGTTTGTCAGATTTTTTGGGGAGGTTGCCCCCCCCCCCCCCCCATTTTAGGAATAGGAGTAAAATATATGGTTAATTAATGGATATCATGCTTTAAGTGGGGTAACACGAATAATACAAGAAATAATACCCGAAGCGAGCTACAAAAAAGGTCGCCGTAAATGGAAGGTTTTTACAGTGCTTGGATCTGTAGCTCTCTGGTTGTCTGTCCAAATTTTCTCAACCAGAGAGCTACAGTTCTACAGCTACCCCACTTTTAAAACTATTGCTTCGGGCTTGTTAACTAAAATTTTTAAAACTTCTTAAACTTTCTTCGTTTAACAATCCTTATAAATTTTGTATGCAAAGCCTTTGCACTATTGATTTTTTCCCACCAGTCCACAAACTTTTTGATAACCCCTCGTATTTTTACAATATATGTGGTAATGTGTAGTAGTTTAAGGGCTATATATGGACCAGGGATATCGGCCTGGGTAGCTCAGTGGTTAGAGCAGCTGACCAGTGATAAAGGGGTTCATGGATCGATTCATATTAGGTCCCCCCGGATGTTCAAAAAAGGCGGATCAAATACATGTATTATGTGACATCGATCCAACCACATATTTTTTTATTCATGTTCTTCCTACCGAAATGCAACACAACAGTCACTGTTATATATACATATGTAAAAAAACAATTTTTTCTTATTTCATGTATTTTGTTCATCTAATTTATCATCAATGTTTATATGTTATGTGCGCTTGGCAATAGTGTAGAGTTTAATAACCTACTGTATATGGTCTGCATGTAGGCTTTATATTCACAGTCTGATACAATATGTTATGCTCTTAGCACAGGAGTTGGCAGTTTTATCCATAAAGCAACGTAAACAATATCCAGTGAGCTTGGTGAGCGTAGCGAGCAACCAGATAGGAATGCAACGCATTTTTGGCAAATTCTGCTCTAGCGCTTTATTTAAAAAAACTAACAATAACACGTGCACTGGTATAATTCACGTCAGTCGATGTTTCCAACCTGATTTGGAATAATTTATCCAGATAAGTTGTTGAGTTTTATCCAGATAAAACCCCAGCTTTCTGCACAGTTTGAAACTCTTCGCCCAAGAAAAGATAACTCGTCCACAGATGAGAACTATCGTTTTTCGGAAACTTTCAGGACTCTTTGTATCGAAGGTGTTAAATTCTAATTCCACAGTGAAATGTCTGAAAAAATATTTGTCTTAAGGATGTGTGGTAAGGATGAAGGTAATATAATTTTAGAGTCATCTAATTATCAAAATTTATTGCACCAAATTTGATTTTAAAATTCGAATAAATATATTATAGAATTTATGAAAAAAGAAAAAACGGAAGTTGTTGAGTTATCTTTTCTTTGGCGAAGGGTTTCAAACTGTGCAGAAAGCTGCAGTTTTATCTGGATAAAAGCTATTTACATTGGATACATTTGGATTGGGCTGTCACCCGAAATAACCGAGAACCGCGGTCCAAGTTGTTCGGTTCGGTTTTGGTTCCATTTTTCCGGATTTCGGTTCGGGTCTGGTTTATATATTAGAGTCTGTTCAATACAAAAATGGCATCGAAATCAAAGAAATGATGACGATAACAGTGATAAAAAACATCACAACTGAAATCTACTTCATTCCATGGCAAAACACTTGTCACAGAAGTATTAGATAATTATCAAAACGAGCAGGAATGGTCAGGTTGTGGCTAATAGTAGGCCAAGTAGTTCTACACACCGATGTCTAGATGTTCACATCGTTAAGACTTGTTTTCAATGTAAATTTAATGTAACAAATAAAGATTTTTCAAGTTAAGTTTATGAAATTAAGGTTTAAAATAGATGTAAATAACCGAACCGAAAAACCCGAAACCGAACCGAAAATTTACAGAACCGACCTGACCCGAAAAATTTTGGAACCGTGACAGTCCTATATTTGGAATATTTTAGCCAGGATAAGTACTAGGACATCATTTGCGCTAGTGCACATAAGGATTTGAGTAACTTTTCTCAAGTAAGTTGTTTTTTGACTTTGTTTACAAATCGTGTCCTACTTTCGATTCTTCCCTTGTGTATTTTTATATGTGTAGTAGAGAACAGAGCGGATACATGTAAGATGCCCCTGTGGATTAAACTGCTGACTCCTGTGCTCTAAGTAAGATACATGTATTGTACTGTAACCAAAGGTATTCAAGATAAGAATACTACAAAATCAGTTGAAAATACATAGTACCAAATAAAATGGAGGGTTTAACAACAGGTTCAGCACGTGATCTTACCGACACTGTTCATCAGCTCTTTCATGTGTGTATCCCTACCTATGTTGTTATATTGCTCATTTTTGTTTTCACTTGCTTGGACACTAGAAAACACTGCTCGGAGTTTTCGGAGACAGTCGAGTGTCTGGTTGAACTGACTCAGTGACCAGTAGGTGACTTGAGTCTAGACTCCGACCGACTTAGGGGGTAAAAAAAATTTTCAGATTAACGAGCCCGATGTTAATTCTAAGCATAATCATGTACCCCCCTTTTTACCTTTAAAACGTCAAAAATATGCTGTATATTGGCGCTTTGAATTATTTTGAAAAATAGGTCAAAGGTCAAGTTCAACGGTCACGAGGTCGGTAACCATGGTAAATTACAAAAGCCACAGTGGACCGACTTCATTTGTTGAACAGATCGGCCGTACATACGCGGCTATATATCGGAGTAGTTTTCCATTAAAATGCTCTTGAAAATAAAGTGTCCGCCTCTAATACAAAAGTATAACTGCCTAATTTAATTATGCTTGTATGCTTGTAGGGAATGGGCGCATGATAATATAAGGGATTGGAGAGCCTTTGGGGAAACATGGGGAACATCTGTAACGCGGGTTCCCGTTACCATTAGGACTAGTTTATTTTGTATTTAATAGTATATATATATATATATATATATATATATATATATATATATATATATATATATATATATATATATATATATATATATATATATATATATATATATTCATATTCCTCAGTTGCGAAAATTGATGTCACAGACGGATTTTAAATTGATATATAGAATCATATTGTGAATAAGTCATGGTGCGGTGCTTTTTCTTATGATTTTATCCATACTTTAAATCAATAACTTTCATTGCACTGTACAATAACTTCCCAATTTTGAAATTTCAAAGCACCGTTTTTTTTTTTTTATTGAATTGATTTAATTTGTAAACACACAAAATGTAAACAAAGTATGAAAAAATCACACTGTATTCAAAACCCATCACTTGAAACCTAAATAGCGCTGTACCTGCATACATGTAAAATGTTGATTAAAAGAACACTGCATAATAAATTTAAAAGCAAACTTAAGAATACAGGAATTATTCTAATTAATTCAACAGAAATTAAACGAAAATTGACAATTTTGAAACAGAACTTTTTCAGTAATTTCTGAGAGAACACTATTGTTTCCTGTTTCTTGTGCTACGAGAAGTAGAATTATTTGAACATTTCACATCAAATTCCATGGTTTCAACTTCAGCGGATTTCCTACTACATGTAATATGTGTATTATCGGCATTGGAAGAACAAGGCGGTGGTTCAAGTTCAATTTCTTTTTGGTGCGGGCGGATCCAAAATATACTGAACTGTTTCAAGTATTTTATATTTATCAGACGATTTTTTATACCATGGCAAGAAAACTCGTTCGGTAAAGCTTTGGCTTGAACTCAATAAAAGTGCAATTAAAGCTCTACTGATCACAGAAATACCCCTGGGAATGATTCGAGACAACTGATGGCTACGAAAGCCTATTAGGATCAAACTACGGTAAAATAAAAAAAAATTAAAAAGGTGTTATAACGCCTTTTCAAAAGGCGTTATAACGCAAAAAATAATGCAAATAAGGGCGTAATTACGCCTTTCCAAAAGGCGTTATTACGCCTTTCCAAAAGGCGTTATTATGCCTTTTGAAGAGCCATTATTATGTCTTAGACAGACCCGTGCTTTTGGAGGGGGGGGGGGGTGGACAACCTCCCATAAAATTGACAAGCAAACAAAAAAAACAAGAAACACCCCCCCCCCCCGAAAAAAATAAACTGCCTAAACTTGAGGGGAATCTTTTTCTAACTTGTCGGTAAAACTTTTTTAAATGCAATGACTTGCCCGAGTTAAACCATACTGCAACAAAATGTTAAGGGACCAAGCAATCAATAAATGATTTTTTTCATATTTAAACTATAGCAAGACTATTCTCCCAAAAAGTGGGGTGGGACCCCCCCCCCCCCCCGGAAAGGCGTTATTTTAAAATAATAAATATATGAAAGATTGAACACAAGCCATTTTTATTATTGCAATATTTAGATTATAGTTTTTTAAAATATTATAAATTATATTATAAATTATAGTATTTTCTATATTCCTGCACATCTCGCAGACAGTTGTTTGCATGCGTATTAAGAGAAGTCGACACTCTACTTTTGATAATCCAGGATAAAGGCAGTGCCAGCTTTGGGCTTTGCTAGCCAAGTATTAAAAATGTCAAATTTGAAATATTTTTCTCTCCTCTTGGAAAAAAAAGGCAAACTATTTGCAAAGGTATAATAAGCAATTAGCCTTCAACCAAATTTCTGAAATCCATGCACCTTGGTAGAGGTGTCTGGCATCAGAGAAGGACTAAATTGGTTTAACACTGAAAATATTTTACACATTTAAAAATCTTTTTTTTCCCTGGAAATCTAATTATAATCAGCCCCCAGGGTGGGCTAAGTAAGTCATGTATTGAAAAATAAGAGGCGTAATAACGTTATTACGCCTTTTCCCGCGTTATAATGCACAGTCATGGTATGGCAGGGGTATACTGTAGTGAAAAACGTCCCGACAATCCTGTAACATTTTCAATTTCAGCATATTTTCAAATGTCTTTTCTGCAGTGTTATGGCAGATTCAGCTGGAGGGGGTTAGGGGGTTGGAGCGGTCTGGAACCCCTGGGATTTTCAGTTACAACTGTATGAATTTTATACAGTACAATAATAAAAAAATAATCTTGGAGCCCCCACCCCTTTCAGGAATTATGGACCCCTCGTTCGTAAGAAATGTCATATATATTTGAAAGAAAACAACTTATCAAAGAGAAATAGTCCAAGTAACCCCTCCACGAGAAATGGGTACTTGTATTTTGCTATTCTCTATTGAGAAGTTGATGGATCGTTTTAACAGTACCCCCCCCCCCCCCCCTAAACTTCTCTACGAAAGGCCTAACAACAGCAGTTCAGAAATTGACTAAATGAAGAACCAAACCGGGCCCCACTTAGGTCTGATGTGATATCATAGTCGTAGTCTGGATGCACAGATGTTATTCTGCCATATAGAAATGCAAATAAAAAACCAATTCTGCTGACTTAAAACACGTTTTTAATGATAGAACACATACATGTACTTGCGATATCTGTGTCGCCGGATTCGTTTATTCATTCAAAACTGCGTTTGAACCCGGTTTGACCTCTAAACAAGTCTAAAACATTTAATCCAATTTATCCGGAGAAATAGTTTTAGACTTTTTCAGTGGTCAACCGGGTTCAAACGGAGTTTGTACGCTTTTTAAAAAAAAAGCTGAGAGTCAGCCACTGGAATACAGAAAGTTTCTTTCTTGTTTTGTGATGGTATATGATTTGTTTTATCCATCATGTTGTGTTCATTAAAAGTCATTGTCGTCTAAAGTTAAAGTTCGCCCAGTCGTTTCCTTATTTGTAACATAATTTTGTACATAATAAATAATAAAGCATAGAATAAATTTTAGTTAGGTTACATCGTGATCAGTATGATGACTTCCAATTAATTTCTCTTGGGCGCGGACATCAGATAAAGTTCGTCTCAGAAATGAACAAAGCCACTATGATCCCAATCATTTTTACTGTTAAATTCTATAAATGATATAGATTATGATGCTTAAAAGGAAGGTAGACCTTGGGTTAGATTGTGTTAATTATTATTAGATAAATTAAAGTATTTAATCGTGCAGGTTCGAGGCAATGCATGATAGGGGAAGGGGGAGGGGTGCATACTGTATGTATATTTAATTCAAAATTTCTAAATTTAAGCATCCATTTTAGTGTTATTAGGAAAGAAAAGAATTGCTTCCAAAATAAAGTAATAAACGTGAAATTCAAAATATTTTACACATACAGTACGTATACCCTAAAATGATACTGGATTCCATCTCGCTCACTCTCTCTAACTGGGGGGGGGGGGGGGTCTATAAATCCGCGCAGTTTCTCTCATCTATCGCAGTTCTACGTACTGTTTTCAGTTCCTCACACTCACGTGCACACGCGGCACTTACATGTCTATCATCGTGTAAATTATAAGATTTTACACATCTTAAGTGACCTTCTGACGTTTTCATAACTTTCATCATTAAAGTGAAAAGAGATTCTTTTTTCACTGTTTTGGGGACCTTTGTGCAAGTGCATGGATTATTGTGTGAATTCCGACCCGTACATGCCTTATGCAAGGTATTGATCGAGGGAGTCTTGCATCAGGCATTCAGAGGAATACACACAAATCCGTGAACTTGCAACGGCGATTGAGGGTATATATATATATCAACTGTTAAATGTGCTCTGTATATAAACTTCTCATCTTCTATCAGAAGCACTGAAATATTTTCATAGTATCATATTTCCCACTTAGAACAATCTCTTCTTTAATTTTTCGTCGAGAACGACGAAGAACAATGCAGTCTATAAATAGATCGAGGCCGCGTCTTTGTTTAGAGGGTCTTTGTGAAGAATCACGCCCTTTGGTTGGAGCAAATAGCACGAGTTTCTTTAGAACAAGTCGTGTACATCTTTTTCCCAGAATTCCAAATTAGGCAATCGCACTTGCAGTTTCATCCCACCGTAACTAGTCAGCCCGTGGGCTGACTAATAAACGAATCCAGTGACACAGATATCGCAAGTAAGTGTTCTACCGTGATAAATGTTTTTAAGTCAGCAGAATGGGTATTTTTAATCGCATATCCATTGCAAAACAACATCTGTGCATCCAAAATATGTCTATGATAAAGCATCAATACTAAAACATCGATCGAAGTCACTGTGGCTTTCACAAACATAAACTGGTCTGCAGAATGGCAGAATGAAGTTCATATAAACGAATCTGAATATATACACGGTACAGATTTTTGTGATAAGCATTAAGCACGGACACTGATTGTCATCTCCCTCGGGAGATGACACATTAAGTTTGAATCACAGGAAGTGAAGTCCTAGTGTAAGCTGCCATTGATAAGCTGGTGGTCTGGCAAAGGAACTGACGATGACACGATTTCTAAATATAGAGATGTAAACAAAATTGACCAAAGTCTGTCTTATTATTATTAAACAAAATGGTCCATCTTACAGTAAAACTACACCAGTGTTCATTAAGAGTAATAGAGGTAGGATCACTTGGGTGGTGGTGGGTCTTCATTAACGGTTTATACACATAAACATTGTATCTGGGCTATTGCGTAAAACGATGTTCAGCGCGCAGGGATAACAAGAATAGATATGGGTTACCCCATATCCAAGATATTCGACTTTTAATTTATTCGAATTTTCATTGTGTTCAGATGATTTCTAATAAAAAAAAAACAAACATTTACTGACAAAACGTCAGAGATACTCAAGCTGTAGAAAGTCAACTATAAAAGTGCCATATACATAAATATCCTAAAATGACATAATATTTAGGCTACTGAGTTTCAACAGATGTTAAAGATGGTCCAACCTGTCACCTGTTTTAGAGTATTCAATGAACTCGTCCAGTGATGCATTGACGGCCGTTGTTAAACGCAAAGGAAAGCGCGAGATCGGTTGCGGCTATGGAGCATCACTGAATATTCCTCCACCATATACTGATTTTGAATATACAGACGTTTTGAAGATAAACTTCATTTTATTTTTGTTTATAGAAATGTTTTTATTTACAAAAATAGTACATTTTCGTGTTAGATCGATGACTATAACTCAGCCCCTCTAGCCCAGTCTACGGCTTCATCTTGAGTAAAAAACCTGCACTTGTTATGAAACTGGTGTATAGTTCTAAACTTCTTTATGTCCGTAGCAAGTACTGATACCCAGTCTACTGATCTAAGCGTCACTAGGGAACGGTGCACACACCTGTTCTTGCAAGACCAAATAGCCTAGGTCTACACACGTGCGAAGATCTTTCCGAGCTCGGAAAATCACGTTGTTTTGCCGAGAAGTGTTTAACCATAATAACCATTCCGTTATTTAAAAAAGAGAGAAAAAACACACAGTTAATGATTAACATTCTAACTCAAAAGAAAATATACGGCAATTAACGAACAATAATCATGACAGTAATATAATTGGTGAAAAGATTTATCATTATCAATCGAAGTGTGACCTATATATTTTCGTGAAAAAGACTGAGGAGGCAGCGAGCGTAGGAATATGAAAACTTTTTATTTGCTTTTCTGGGGAAAAAGTGATTTTCTTAAAATCTTTTAACGTTAATTTTGTTTTCTTTAACGTATTAAATATACATGATTATTCTTAATATTTGTTGTAATGTTTTATCTACTGATCATGAATGGAACTATTTTCTTCGGAGCAATTGTGTGAAGAGTACCTGACTTTAGTAATATATCTTGAATAGATAATATGCACTGATCGAATATATTAAAAATACACAAAACATGGCATATTGAATGTATAAGCCAATGCGTGGATCCAAGATTTACTGACGAAAGAAAACAGTGAAAACATTTAAATAACAACTCACATTAAATGCATATATACAATGGCAAAAACTTTACTTTTATGTGCACTTTAGTCAATCGATAATTAATGCCGTATATATATATGAAAAATAAAACAGAACTTATTCAAAAAAAAAAAAAATTAATAAAAATAAATAAATAAATTTCGAAGAAAAGAAATTTTACCTAAAAGCACAATTTAGGCAGAAACATAAATGTCTCTGGTTTAAGTAACTCAGTGCTGCGGGCATTGGAATAAAGATCATAAAGAATCATTATATGAGTATTTTCTCGGATGTGTGCACTTTATTCTTTTTTATTTAAATTTACCCCTGTAGAAAAGTATAAGAAAAGATAGTTTTCTTTACCAGATTTTAAGAATTAATAAACAAAGCAACTGTTATAATTTTCTTTATGCAATTCTAATTTGTGTTTTTTCTCAATGAGAAAAGGTTAAAAAGAAATCATTCCTCGTATTCCTCGTATTCTTGAAATAAAGCCAAAATTTTAAATTTTAAATGTGTGTCTCATGGAACAGCCTATAAAATCGATGTTGGTAGATTGGGGTTCTTTTCGGTGTGTTAATACTTAATTTTAAATGGTAACGTTTCAAGTTTATTACCTTTCTATGCATTATTTTTCCCCCAGGAGCGTATACATGTACATGTACTTATATTATACATAATATAGCGTTAGAACATGAATCTGCATGTGCAGCAGAAGGGCATGATGCAGGAGTGTCTCAATTTTTCCTTTGATATTCCCAGTGGCTCGATAATCAATCAAATCCCAGTGGCTCGATGGCCAAGTCACTTCAGAGGATACGATTAAGGAAAATAAGGAAAGTCTTGGGAATTAATTCAGGTATAGATTAATTTAAGTTGCCGCTTTAAAACTTCTTTGCTGCCGTAGTAGGCGGCTATATAAGAACCTAAGTCAAAAGGAACGCTAAGTTTTTATCCCTCTTCTTTCGGAATAATTGTTAAAGCTATATATGGCGTATCTGAGCTAAAAAATAAAAATACGAGATTGGGTGTAGCTAAACATGATATATGTTATTTACGTTGAAATTAAATTTTTCACCGATTTTGAACTTGAATAACCTTATGTTTCCATAGTTCGACTGATTAAAAAAAAACTGTGTCTGTTTAAAATCTGAATCGGTAAATAAATCGGTTTTTGTTTTAAATTTCTAATATCTTTGAAACGTGATTGATTTAAATTGTGTAATTTACAGGAAAGCCCTATTTTTATATAAAGTAATAAAACAAATAGAAAGATCTTTTTAATTTAGGTAGTCTGAACTTATAAAAAAAACCGCAATATATGACTTTAAATAATTCTTACGAATATTTCTCAGTGGTTAGAATTTTTTACAGACATTATACAAAATATATTTAAACTGAATAAAGCATATTTACAACAGGTAAAATAACACAGGCACATAGCACCAAACATTGAAGAGGCGCACCCTTGAACCCTCTTCCACCTTTTGTTGCAGTATGGTACGTCAAATCATCCCATGAAAATGTATAATAATTTAAAATATGTTTGTCGGAAAAGTTGTAATCCCTCCTTCCCTTCCAAGAAATGAAAATGTTGAGTTTGGATAGCCCCTTTTTCCCCTTGTCAAAGATTGTTCAGATAAATCGTCGATTTTTTTTTTGTCCTCCACCCCCCCCCCCCCCATTTTTTCAAAAGCGATACTACTGCCTGTAATAGCTGAGAAAATAATATAACATTCCACTGTTTATTCTGTGACATTAATGAAGCCAAAGAGATGACATTTCAGGCTTTCTGGAAAGCCAAACTTGTTTTATACTTTATTTTCACAAGGTTATAATGAAAATGTAACAGATACATGTACTTCAATATTATGAATACGAAATATATATATATATATATATATATATATATATATATATATATATATATATATATATATATATATATATATATATATATATATATATATATGAATAAAAACAAGTGCACATTTTTCGTCTTTACTTTTTCGTGTTTTTGTGCACAGTCCCATTTGTCTACGGTCTATCCCACTTTAAAATGAGATAGCCCAATGGGCTATTTCATTCTCCTGTTTAGTTTCGCACACTGCTATGGGGTAGATGTAAGTCAATGAATTTCAAATTATGAACTTTAAAGAAATACTACCCCCCCCCCCCAAAAAAAAAAAATAAAGAAAAAAGAAATATCAAGGGTTGTATATCAGGAAAACTTGCAAAATTACCATATTAAGAATTCCAACTTAACAAAAAATTATTAGTGAAAGGGGGGGGGGGCTGAGGAACAACCAAAAAAAAATCACATTGCCTTTCACATGAAGGAATGAAATGTAGCTGCAACATTAGTACTGGAAGTGTGAATATTTCAAAATGGGAGTCCCCCTCCGATGGAAAGAGGGTGTTGCAGAAACTCGCGATTATTCCCTATATCGAGAAGGACATTCAAATACCCACTACGTAGATGACTTTGTGTTTACGGCGGGTATTTCCTGCTTGATATAGCAAAACACTTCACATTTTACGTTTATTTCATGCATAGATTTTCTTAACATAGGAACCGATCGCCGACCTTTTAGTGAACGTTAATCTTTTTATTTTATTTATTTTTACATGCATGTGTCACTATTGCCGTTTTGTATGAGAAAGGTTTGAACAATAAAAAGCACATGCAATGGCCAGTGCACCCTGCACAGCATTTTGAATGATATACGGTAGACAACGTCCGTGAATATTTTTTAAATAAATAAAACTGTGTCCCATAATCACACTGTTTATGCTACATCCAAGACATTCCATTTGTTTCAAATCAAATCTTGGCCACTAAATAACAGACCAAAAATGAATCAAAATGAGTAAACTATGTAAAGAATAAATTATTTAAAACAATACTTTATTTTCCAAGACATCGCCTGTCAACTAAATAGCAGCATTACATCTTTAGTTTTAGGTCACGGTATCAAGGAAGACAATTTAAATCTGCTTGCGTGTAAAATATTACTCAATAACTTTTTGACATTCTCTCTCTCACTCTCTCTCTCTTTCCCTCGCTCTCTTAAAATAGATGTTTTATTGCACTTCCATACATGAAAAAAAGTGAAGAAAAAAATAATACAAAAACGACACATTCCAGGATTCGAACCCATTCTCAGGTAAAATAATTGTCAGGA